TTGTTTTGGTGGGCCCGGGCTGGATTCAAACCTGCCACCTTAGGTGTATGTGGCTGGCGCCTTAGCCACTTGAGCCACAGGCACTGAGCCTATGTTTTGTTTTTTAAGCAAAACTTTGTGTTGAGGGCTAGCTCTCAATAGATGGCAGTGAGAAAGTTTAGACATACAAAATGTCTGTTATATACAAAATCCCAAGGACCATTTTAAATGAGATTTTCTCCCATCTTTAAGAATCTTGTCACACTTCCTGCTAAGTCTAGTGTTTATTTTACGTGAATAAGGAAGGTGGGAAAAAGATAGATAATAACAATCTCTGTTACCAAGTTCTTTCCATGTATTAGAGATTTTAATACATTGTTTCAATCTCAACAACTCAAAGTAGGTATTATCCTCATTTACAGAATAGGTCAAATGAGGCACAGAGAGGTTAATTATCCAGTGCAGATCACACAGCCAATAATGTTAGAGGGAGAATTCAAACTCAAGTCTGCCCATCTCTTAAGCACACACACACACAAAAAGGCGCTTGACACAGATGGAAATGGTTACACGAAAGTCGAGGTTGTTCGTGGAGGGTTTTAGAGTAATGGTTCGGGCATATTTGATCTGAAGGTGGAGCTTCTGCCGAGGATCTAAAGCTGAGCTGTCCAGTACAGTAGCCATTAGCAACCGGGCAGCTGAACAGTTAAGATGTGACTAGAATAAACTGAAATGTGCTAAAAGTGATTTTGAAAACCAATGAAAAAAAGTAAAACACTTATTTAATAATGACTTTGTATTAATCATGTGTTAAGAAAATATTTTAGATATACTATGTTATATGAGAAATATTTATTTTAAAGTTAATTTCACCTGTTTCTTTTTACTTTTGTTAATGTGCTACTAGAACATTTAAAATTATATACATGACTTGCATTATAGTATTTTGATTGGGCTATGCTGCTCTAGAGAGAAGTTTGTTATTACTCAAATTTTTCTGAGTATAAAAGGAATTCAAGTTCATTTAGAAAATTTGGGCACTGGCTCGGCGCCTATAGCTCAACCGGCTAAGGCGCCAGCCACGTACACCTAAGGTGGCGGGTTTGAATCCCCAGCCCGGACCCGCCAAACAACAATGACGGCTGCAACCAAAAAATGGCCGGGCGTTGTGGCGGGCGCCTGTGGTCCCAGCTACTTGGGAGGTGGAGGCAGGAGACTCGCTTGAGCCCAGGAGTTGGAGGTTGCTGTGAGCGTGATGCCATGGCACTCTACCCAGGGGAATAGCTTGAGGCTCTGTCTCAAAAAAAAAAAAAAAAGAAAAAAAGAAAATTTGGGCGCTACAACAAAGCACCCAAAGAAAATTAAAATCCCACCATCCGAAGGAACAGTAGGTTAGATTAGTAGATTAGAATCAGACTGTGCACTGTT